ACATATTATGGTTTGGAAACCTAAATTTGGGCCTCAGAGCAATCTAGTGATCACAGATAAAAAAACTAACATCGATAAGAGCATTGTATCTAATGGCAATTATGTGCTTTATAAATTTTTAGTTTTAGGGTGGGTATGATTTGTTTTACATTTATTATATATTTTTTTTAATTTATTCACTTTTGTTATCTCTGGTGAAACCAGTTGACATTGATTACTTCAACTAAACAATTTTTAGTCGTTAGATAAAAGAAGTCTTCTATATTGGAATCTATAATGTAAGAGTGACTAAAGAATTAAATGGTTAATTTATGGTGGCCCAGGAAGATTTGACATTGAAAAAACTTTTGTTCTAATGAATAATTTTAAGATTTTTTTTTTAAATAATTTATACTCATTTGCGCTATGAGCACCATGTATTTTATTGCACTTAACTATTTTACTTTTTAAAATTATTTTTTTTATTAGCTTTCTATTTAAAAATTCAAGATAGCCATTTTGTTAAGAATAATTTGCTGAAAATTTCAACTGCTCGATAACCAGATTTGGACAATTACTTTTTAAGTTACTAAAAGTTAAAGAATAGGATGGGAGGTGGAGTGCGGTAGAATAAGCGCGTAGAGCCATTTTTATCTGCGCGCATTTCTCTACCGCACTTCACCTCCCATCCTACCTTGGAAATTGACTACGGAAAAAGTGTAATTCTACCAAAAGAGCCCGAAACGTCGGCTTAAAACTAGGGACATGGATATAATATCTGAAACTCATCCGTATGAATTTTTGACCTTCTAACCAATTTTACCATAATTATGCCACTGGCCTCTATCGTGGGGGTGTGTGTGTGATACGAAAACGTTGATTTTTTTGCAGGCGATGAAACGAAAAATTCTAAACGGACCATTCCGTTTTCAATAGTTATTTCCCTTGCATGTATTACCTCGATGTCGAACAAAGAACGCTTTGATTGAAATTAAAAATATTATATGTATAGATGTTTTTTACGTCATTCTGTTAGGACCCTATCGCTTCGCTGCCAGTTATTGACGAACACTTGGGAATACCGTACGTCATGTAATTTTGTACGGCATGTCCAGCGACGGACTTTTGTTCAAGGTGTTGTCTAATGAAGACTATTTTGCTGAATATTTAGGGCGATTTCTAAGAAAAATTGATATTTTTATTCTTTTCAAAATAATTGTGAAAATAAGTAAAATTGTTTATAAACACAGTCGAACAATCGATGACGTTTAGTAACTATACTTTTGGCGATGGTTTTTTTTTTTGCAACACAGCTGCGACGGCTCACAATGCAAGCATAAAAAATTATACGTCTTTGGTGATATAATATATGCAATGGTCAAATTGTAAAATTTGTTACCTACATTTTTTTTTATGTAACTTATAAAATGTTGTTACGGTAAATCGTTTCAAAAATTTCTCTATCGTATTTTTTTTAATACTTAATAATACAGAATCCTTGATAGCAATTTAAAACATTTTTTTTTCATCTAAACATGTTTAGGCAGGCATAAACAAAAAAGATTACCATTCAAAATGGTTTTAAAGATAAAAAAAATAGATACAAAGTTGACTTTAACTTAGTATAGTTGCATTTATGCGGTCTATGAAATCGTCTCTTGTTATCACTTAATTAACGTAAACTTTTTCCATGTAAACTAGTTTATGAAAATAATAAAATTGATCTAAAAAAGTTCATTTACTACAGAGCTTTAAATTTGTAAATCAAATACTTTTTGAATTAATTGCTTAAGAGGACGCTACCCACCCGTAATTTATCCGCAAAAAATGGCTTTGCGGGGGACAAGAATGTGAAGGCGGTATTTACAGTAGCCGTATACAATTTTTACAATGGATAGAGAAGAACTTTATATACGGGGTAGCGATTTTAGTTTTTTGATAACTTAATCACAATTAAAATTATTTCTTCGTGAAGATTCTATTTTTTTTTTCAATTTTCATTTGCTTATAAAAAAATATTAAGTATAGATATCAAACAAATAAAATTGCTACCCCGTAGATAAAGTTCTTCTCTATACATTGTGAAAATTTGTTAAATCTACTGTTAATACTGCCTTCACATTCTTGTCCCGCGCAAAGCAGTTTTGATGGGGAAAAATAGTAATTTATCCTATAGAAGTGATTGTGATAGTCTGACGAAAAAAATGGCAATCAATAAAGTATCCTCATTACTGTATTAATGAGTATATAATATAGTTCAAATTTTAATTTAGGATTTTTCAAAAAATTGCCTATACTTTACTCCTTAGAAATGGCCTGGGTAGCGTCCTGTTAATAAAAATAATGTATATTTTTAATAATTCTCGTAATATTAAAAAAAAAAAAATCTACTTTCTGACGCCGACTGAGCAAGCGTTTTAATTGGACTAACCAGACAAAGTGGGGGTAGCGAAGAGCCGTCTTACCATCTACAATAGTGTCCGATTGGTTATCCTATGTAAACACAATATATTGCAAAAGGAGTGTAACTTGCAATTTAAGTAAATGCGGCTAGTGGAGGAGAGTCACAAAACTCACTACATAAAGTCAAACCGATCATAAACTGTACTAGTGATTTTTTGAGTTTCTCACACATAACTTAACCTATAAGGTTTATCAAACAACTACAAAGTAAGTAACATTTAAAATTTTTTTTTTGGTATGTTTTAGAGTGCAATCGTCATTTGAAAATTAACTGCACGTAATTTCATTAGCGTTTTAAACTAAGTTTATTTTTTATTGTATTATTTTATTGATCGATTAGCTCTGAATAATTAACTTTGAATTATTAAAGTCTTAGGTCGAAGTAATGGTAGAGTGTTGTGTTATTTTTATCTGCCCGCAATATTCAACCGAACTTGCCCTCCCGTCCTGATTTCAAAACTTTTTTAATTTTAAAAGTAATTATTGCAGACAGGTTACCGACTAGTTAAAAAAAAATGTTCTGCAATTTACTATTTAAGTTTCGGAAGTAAGTAGCGTCATATACAAGAACTGTTTGATTAAAATATTTTTATTTCTTGTATTTTTCGATAATAATTTAAATTTACTGTAGAACAAAAAAATACATTTTGCTAAATAACAAATATTTAATTAACAAGTAATAAATAAAACATGTTTGGCCTGTGGCTGATGGGTATACCGCGAGCACACGATCGGACGTTGTCTAATATAAAAACTGATATCACGGCAACCGATCACGGATAACAAATTTTATTATATTATAAACAAGAACTTAAAATTGAATATCTCATAAATTGGTACCATGTATTTTTATCGAAAAGATTCTATGCATTAATACTGCTCAGTTTGCCGGAAACGTATATATCACAGCACATTATTTTGTACAAAACTGGAAACTAATATCGATAATTAATATGGATTTTTTTTTGCTGAGTAAATAATATAAGTCGTGATATTAATCAATAAATATTTGATTAATTCATAAATTAATTTGTTATTTTGTTTTTTAAGTGTTCTTTTTCATAATATACTTGAACATTTTTTTAAAAAAAATTTAAGTACTTAAAAACTGAAAAACAAATTCAAAATTTTATTCAATTTTTTAAGGTCAAAATTTCAAAACTTTTTTTTTTATTCTGATACATCATACTATACTTGTTTGATTTATAACTTTTTTTTAACAATTTTGTATGTGTAGGTAACCACTAGTTTGACATTTTACCTATAAGTGAAAAGTAATTATACTAAGTAAGTATATTACAAAAGTGTTTTATAAAAAAGTAGCAAATGTTTTACATACATATTAATAAGTGCTGTACAAATTTAAGAATTTTAGGTTCATGTGGTAAACAGTTATATGCTCTAAAAATATCACTATTTATTAAAATGTCAAACTAAAAGGTTACCTATACATAAAAAAATGTCAAAATTGTTAAAAAAAAGTCATGAATCAAACAAGTATAGTATGGTGTATGAGAATAAAAAAAAAAGTTTTGAAATTTTAACCTTAAAAAATTGAATAAAATTTTGAATTTGTTTTTCAGTTTTCAAGTACTAAAATATTTGAAAAAAAATTGTTCAAGTATATTATGAAAAAGAACACTTAAATTAAATGATTTCAGTGAAAGTTCCATTACAAAATCATAATTAGACATTAAGTAACGTGATCGTAAACTTAAGGTGATTTCACAACAAATATCAGGAATATCATCGCCTAAGTCCCAAAAATTTTTTAAAAAATGTTTTCTTCATTTTTTTGTTTTATGGAATTGTTAGCATAGGATATGTAAGTTTGAGGCATTTCAAAAATCCACTCGCACACACATTAGGTGATTTGTTATGGAATGATCCTATTATTGTTTTTTTTTTTGTTATAGGTATTTTTTTGGTAATGAACTCAAAAATGCGTCTTCGTTGTGTCGTGTTATTTGCAATTTATTCCTTTGGCCTCATCGTAAGTGCAACATTTTATTAAAAAAATAAAAAATATGAATATTATTCAAAAATGTATAAAACTATTTCTGTGGCTTGGAGCAAGAAGGGCCAATGTCAATTTTGTGCATAAAAAAGTTGGACCGCTAATTGCAAAAATTGAATCATTCTTTATACACTGTGAAAAAATCACACTCTGAGGCCAAAAAATGAATTACTCATGAAGAGTTTTGATAATAAAATTAACATAGAGCCTAATGGAAAATAAAAACTTCAAAGCTCATTTTCCGAAAGTTCCAAAAAGTAAAATTTACCTTTCTTGCTCCAAGCCACAGATTTGTACTTATTATTATACTTTTTGTGTTAAATAATAATTTAAGTTAAAACGACTGGTATGATATCATGGAAGCTATTTAGGTATCCTAATATACTAGGCATTCACTAATTCCCAGAACCTCTAAAATTTATTTGACCTTTCACAGAAGCTACAAAACTGTTATACTATAATACTATTGATATTTGAGGACAGTCGTTGGGAACTCTATAATAATACTAATAGAACTAATTATAGTATGTATGTCTTTCAGATTTTATTAGATGCTGGGTCTCCCTCGGATGAAAAATCCTCAGAGCTGAAGCGGGTGAACCAGTCCGAGGTGGCGGAGCCCTTGGATGAAGAAAAGGTGTACGAAGTCTCGGACGATAATGGTCATCCTCTAGATAATCTTAAACGCAGGCTTCTTAAGCCTTATTTAATCAGATGCTTTTTCTTCGATAGGAATACTAGTCGTTGTAAGTATCTAAATCATTATTTTGGTTTATTTTTGTATGATACGCAAAAGGAAGTGTAGGTTAATTAAATTGATCCGATTTCCATTCTGTAGATACCACTGTGTCTTTTTTTTTTAGTGCGGATTTAGGAAACCTATATTAATTTAATTCTCAGTGGATTTTACAAAAACTTAATCGTTAAAAAATATACATTTTGAAAATACTTGCTGTAAACATGGTCTAAAAATATGGCAGAAAGTAGATTTAAAACACATACATAGTAATTAAATTTAGAATGATGTATTTTAAAACATCCGATTAAACTATTTTGTTATCAAGAAAAACTCAATTCTTTCAAAATAATTTTTTGGTATTTTATTGTACATTCTACAGAATAATATTAATTATTTGTTTTTGTGGATTTTAATATCTATATAACCCTCTACTTGTGGTTGACTCTAAATTGGTTGATGATCAGGCTAAGCCGGTTTGAAATCACTGTATAAAATTCTACGTAGATTAATGAAAATCGAGGGGTTTTTCTGACTCATTTATATTTAATATAATTACGAGACTGAACTTAGCGAAATAAGTTTTATTTTATGGCACAGTTAACTTATAAATTATACATTATTATAACTGTTTTTAAAATGTTTTTTCATATTTGTGCACAGATGACACAACCAATTTACATCCATTGTACTTTGAAGCCGTTGTACAAGCAGCAATTAAAATACAAAACCGGAAAGAAGATCAATCAAGAGAAGCAAGAGAACGGTTAATAATTGCAACACAAGGTATGGTTCTCGGATTAAAGAATGTTCCGGCAAAGTATATACCCAAAAACATAGTGCATTGTTTATGGGAAAATAATAAGGAATTCATAAACGATGAAAAAGAGAGACTTCTAAATCAAATAAAAGGTATCGTCGAAAACTTTGTAAAAGACTTTAATACAAAATTGAACAAAATATATTAATTCAACATTTTATTATTTTGTCATATATTAGATATTAAACGTCATATTGTACACTATTGGACTTATGGATTTTAATTTTTTTTATACGTAGTTCAATGGGTGAATTACAATATTGATATTCTAAAAATCATACCCTATAGCATTTCATATCCAAACGTAGTTCAATAGCTAATGAATATTATAGTATGAGAACGGTCCCCGCTTGCTTACTAGATACTTTTGGTGAGACATTACTATTATTGTGAAAAGTAAACTAGTAAATACAACTAGTATTCCAATAAATATTTTGATTTCCCTTAAAAACCGTATGGATACAGCCAAAAATACACCTGTACAACAAAGTCAAGAATGGGCTATAACTCTACATACTTACTTAAAAGATAGAGATGTGACCTAAATAATTGCATCGATACAGCAGAGTAGGGAACCGAAAATACTAGTCTAGCGAAGAAAAACTTTGTGACACCACAAGAGTGTGTTCGATGCAAAGCGAGAAGGTATTGGTTTTACTCTGATGTGTGTTTTTTTTTTTATCTGTATACACTGTAACTTTTTTAATACTGGACCAATTCCTTCGAATAGCAACTCTATAAATCGCAAATTTCATCTAGTTGGTACTTGAGGAGGGGGGAGGAGGGTTAAAGTTGAAAAAGTTTACTTCTTTACAGACGAAATTTGAAAAAACCAAAAAAAACCGTACGAGTTTTTAACTTTTACTGGCTATAGTTTTGAGAAAAAGAGTCGGATCGAGTTGATATTTATAAGCAATATTTATTTGGTATGTCCGCGCACGTCAGTTGTGTTAAATTTAAATTAAACCCATTTCCCAACCCCCCTAAAGAGGATTCAAGTTTTTGTTTTTTTAGTTTTTTAGCCGTAATTTTAAGACCCTTAAGTTGAAAAATTTTCAGTAGTTAGAACTCATATATTCATAACATGTTGAACGGAAAACAAATTCGGCACTACAGATTTTCTTTAATTGCCGGAAAACTGTGTTTTCGCAGATTGCGTATATTTTAACAAAAAACACTTAATATCAAAAAAAAAAATTTATCAAATCATTAAAACAATTTTATGTAGATCTATGCAGAATGATACTATTAAGTTTTGTGCTCAAGTTACACTTTTGACTTAAAGTTAACACAAATTCAATTTTTTTTTTAACGTAAGTTCTTTCTAGCTGATTAAAATTGAGAACTAATATTAAATTCGTAATCGCTGACCCCAAAAACATATAATTTGACCTCCTTTGATGTCTTTTACACAAAAATCCAGAAAAATGTTTTAGCTTCGATGCAAAGCGAGAAGGTATTAGTTTTACTCTGATGTGTGTTTTTTTTTTATCTGTATACACTGTAACTTTTTTAATACTGGACCAATTCCTTCGAATAGCAAATTATGAAGAGGACTGTTGTTTTTTGGATTCAGATTAAGTGTTGGTTTTTATGCAGTATACCGCCCCAAAATGTATTTTATATTACACATTTTTTTAAATGAACACTAATGTTTTGCATATTGTTATACTGTTATTCATTTAAAGAGATTCACGCTTGATTGTTTAAATTATCTTATATTAATCTGCTTCGTGCTAATTTTAATTTTTTAGTTTATGAACTTGTAGTTCTAATTTTGTATAAAATATTTCATTATTTTATTACTATGTTCAAATTAAGATATATTTTAACAATAATTAAGTCATGAATAATAATACTTTATGTTATGACTAGATCAAATCTCGTGAACATTTAAGAATATGATACTGCTCCTATACTATTATTAAAAAAACACAATTTATTAAAATCTCATAAACTGTTGTAAACACCAATTTTTATTTACCTAAAAATCGTTATGCGCCTCTAAGCCTGTCGATTTTTTATCTTAAACAACTTGTTGAAATTTTAACCGTACTTTGTAACGCGTTCTCTGACGTACATCGATCGAAATACATTTTAAATTTTCGCTTTTAATGTTATTGTAAAAATCGTTACAAACCTTTTAAAAATGAAATTTCGCATATAGGAGTATTAAACTTACAAAAAATAACCTGAATCTTCTATGAATACTTTAATCGGATTTTCTATTCAAAGTAGAAACATATTATATTTTTATACAAAAATAGGGCCTGTATACGTTTTAGAAGTTGAGCAAAAAAAATTACATATCAAAAATGTAGACCTCTCAATTCCGTGTCAATGTATATGTTTAAAATATTAAGCTTATATAATCAAGTTAAAATATATATAATATAATAATATAATATTATATTATATTATACTACAATTTTAGCCAGAAACTTGATTGTACATAATTTTTTAATCTTCTTGGCCTTTTTTTTTTAAATTATAATTCCGAAACTAATCTAAATTTATTCGGTACTTTAACAAGACATAAAAATGTTCTATCGTGGTTGCACTCAGCTGAAAAATGGCTGATATTTTTCTGTTATGCACTACAGCTAATTCCCACACCCAACCACATCTCTGTGTGATAACGCTTTTTTCGGATATGTGCCAGAGCTAAGACATGAAAATGTCAATACTTAAGTGTTGTATTATATTATATGATTCAATATACCGTGAATCGTTTTTTGACATTTTCATGTCTTAGCTCTGGCAAATAACCGAAAAAAGCCTTATCAAAAAAGCGTAACGAAAAGAAAGTTTTTCAGCCGAGTCTGCAACCACGAAAGAGCATTTTCATGTCTCGTTGAAGTACCGAATAAATTTAGATTAGGTGTGGAATTAGAATTAAAAAAAAAAAATTATATGGAGCTTCCAGTTACAGCATAAGGCCAAAAAGATTAAAAAATTATGTACAATCAAGTTTCTGGCCAAAAGTAACCAAACATAGAGAATTAAACTATTTTGAATTTATTATTTAGTTCTAATTTGAACGTTGAACGTACAACATATCTCTTATCTACTATATCTTACCCCTCTCCCCTACCCACTATCTCCCGTCCCTATCACTCACCCCGATCTCCCACTCTATCCCTACTCCCTAATCTCCCCCTATCTCCCCCCTATGTCCCTCCTTATCACTCACCCCTATCTCTCACCCTTATCTCCCACCCCTATCTCCTGATAACAACCCCAACCCCCTTCCCACCCTCACCCATTATCTCCCACCCCTAAAGGGGCATTTACTCAAAACAGTTTAAGGGCCCAATTTCTCTATGAACTGTTTTAAGTCAGATAATAAACATTACAATTTTAGCCAGAAACTTGTCGTTTTAATATACTAGCTTGTTACTGCTTGTTAATATACTATATCATTATCTATAATTCCACCACTACTCTAAATTTATTCAGTACTCAACGAGACATGAAAATGCTTGTTTGTAGTTGCAGATTCGGCTGAAAAACTTTTTGTGCAGCCCTTGATCCGGCGTGTCCCGGATTTGAATTTTCAAAATAAATACCCAGCGTCTTAGGTCCACTGATGCTTTATTTGTTGACGTGATTCATTCATCTGCAGGCACGGGATGTTATTCAAAATCGATTGGACACGCTGACTTTCGCCCCAACGGTGGAAAGACGCCTCAACCAGGATGTTTCAATGGGTTTCAGCCTATGGATATGTTCAAAGCCAGTAAATGTATGTGTTTCACGTTAATACAGTTTTTTTTTTGGCCGTTATAAGCATAGTAATGTTAGATTAGCTGCTATGGTCCAAAAATTACCAAAATATGCCCTTCCAAATTTGGTTTTCTTTCAAAAACAGTTTAACTAAAGAAAGATAATAAACTCATACATATGTTACATGTAGTCGAATTTAATTCACGCTATTTTACAACAACTTTTAAAGAAATATATCTTGTATATTAGAATCATCCATGAGTAGCACCGGGAAACTGGACAGATAATATGACATTTTAACGTCATGCCGGTGTTTGCTAGCGACGTTGTCGATATTACAATTATTACAAAAAAAAAATAAACAAAAATACATAGACATTGTAAACATATTTATATACAAGTCTTGATAATAATTTTTTTTTTTTATATATTTAAATATATGTGTGTAATGGCTTAGCTGTATATTTTATCGTATTACTTTTTCTTCTTGTTACAGGTTGTGTTAAAAATTTCAGTTACCGCCAATCAGTTTTATTTTATTCCGTCTCAAAATTGTACTTGTTCATTGTTGAGTTGTCACTTTGGTGATTTTGGTTTCAACGACTGGGCTGAAGCAAGCTCTCCGGAGAAAGATGTGAACTTTATACAATTGGCTGACATTGTAGGAAATGCTTCATCTGCAGAAATATTGCCCCAACAACTCAAGTTTAAAAAAAATTGAAATACAAGATAACTAAATGTAGTACATATGTGACTACTTTTTAATCTAGTCTGTTACTTTTACAACATAAGTATTAAGTAGTAGGTTTTGTAATATTGATAGTTATACGACCGATAGTTATACAATTTTAAAAATAAGTTAAACAAGATTTTTAGTATTTCAAGGAACAATACATGTCATTCAAATTTATTATCAAATGTAGTCATTATAATTTAATAATGATTATAAAATTATAATTAAAGCAAAAACTACAAGTAAAAAAATACTCATTTATTGTGTTTTCCTCAAATTTATAAAAATTTGTTGTTTCTGAATTACTTTGTTCAATTAATTTTAAAACCAATTTCATAATTACGGCAAAATCTTTAATAAGGTATAAATTGTAAAATTGTACTTTATTTAAAATCTATTATGAGAATTAGAGGTGTTGTTTCTTGAGCAATGTGCTTATGCTATAAGCAGAGTTGGAAAAACTATAGAGCGCTATTAACTTAAACTAAAACTTAAATGGCAATGTATATATTTAATTACCTTTTTAAATTAAAAATAATTTATTGAAAAATTTTACTGGTCAATAGCCAGTTTTGAATAATTATTTTTAAAGATTTATATGTTTATAATTTAGGACCAAAGGTGGAGTACAATTGATAAATGTGCAATGATAAAAATACTTCTTCTCTCTACCCTTCCTCTCGTCCTAAATTTCTAAACTTTAATAACTATAAAACTATTAATTCAAAGTTGGTTATCGACCGGTCAAAATGTTCATCAAATTATTCTCCATTAAAAGATGATATATTTTTGTTTAAAATTAGAAAAATACCTAAATAGGACAAAGAAGAATACAAATTTTAAACCTAAGTTTTTATCAATAATTATATGCCATATTTATATTAATGTCCAATATTGTGCGTATTGTAGTAAACTATTCGCATTAGAAACGTCTAAAAATATCAATTTTTTTTTTAAGAAACTTGTCCAACTCTGATTTTTAAAAACTAATAATTATTATCTGATTGTGGCAGGTCGGTTAAGTATATTACAACTTTTTAATTTATTATTAAATTATAGTTAAAAAAAATAGATTCAAATATTTTATTAATAATCTGGCGTACATGAAGTAATTTACTGCTGTTTTTTGATTATTTTGAATATGTTTATTGACTGTCTAGACTTAGAACTAGCTATAAAATGAATTATTTGTATTAAATTAGAGATGTGTATAAAATATATTTTTAAGTTTTACTTGAAAATATTCATATGTAAATTCACAAACAATGAAATAATTGTATATTATTCATAATGAAAAATCAAATATTTGCTTTCACGAAAATGATCTATTGCAATTTATCCTGATGTCGGTTATTATGAAGTTTAATAATTCATAAAATTAAATAAATGCTTCCCTTTATTCATATGGTAATAATAGTCTATACATATAATTTCAGATAGATTATAATGTTTAAATCTAAGAGTATTAAATTTCTTTTATGTATTAAATAAAATAATTTATAAATAATACATTTTATATTTGTTCTTCCTAATTTGTATTACTTAATTCAACTTTTTTATTTTTTGATTGATGTATGAAATGTTTTATTTAAAACAAATTATTAAAGGTGCTATTCTTTTTTTTGGCATTTTAATTCTATAATTTATACGAAGACATGTTTAACAAAGAAACTAGTTTTTATTTTATTTGTGTGGTTTTCAAATACTTTATAAAAAGTTCTTTTATACATCACAAATATAACTTTCATTACATTTTTCAAAATATTTTCAATTATTTTTGAATAAAAAATATTTGTTTATTTTTAATATTTGCTTTATATATACTATTCCCATTCCTAATTATCAGTATTTTATTTTATTTAGCTCTTTATTTTTTTGAATACGACTATGTATGATATATATGTCGTGATTTTATTAACTGTAATATTTATTAATATTGTCATGACCAATTTTGTTTATTAGAGATACTGTTTGAGATACATTATATATTATAATAATGACTGTTGATTATTTTATATATTTGTTTAATATTTGGATGTACCTATACATATAGGTACATCCAGGTGTATTATATGTTTGTATTAAAATGTATGTTAAGTACCAATTTAATTTGTAAAAAACATTTAATCATTGCTTAAAGGAATAATATACGAAATATCAACGTTATTTATACCAATGTATATCCTAATTATATACGTAAATTACACGAAACATTTACCATTTTTATACTAATAATATACAAAATAAACACGTAATTTCAAACAAAAATACACGGTTTTTATTCCAAAATTCTACGAAACTTACATAAATTATACGTTTATATTACACGTATAATCTACAAAATATAAACGTTATTAAAAATTAAATTTAAATAGTTTATGTTCTAAAAATCTATACATCATTTATACTATCTATCTTAAACATAAAATATGCGAAATATAAACGCAATTTAAACTTAGTTTTACACGAGTTTTACACCAAAATTAAGCGTACCTAATATACATATTTTACGCCAAAAATGTACGTGTATACGTGTTTTTTTTCGGTGCAACACACATTGAATATCGTCAGTTTGACCCAAAAATATCTATTACATGTCCCAACATCAACATATATTATATGTATATTCGGATATGATATACATATATTTGTCTACTGGGAATGAATATCTATTCTCAATAAATACATTTTTACTGCTACAAACAATACATAATTTTCAAAGTTTGTAAAACAAACATCACAAATTTAATACAATAATAAACTATTTTATACAACCTAGTATAATTTTTTAATTATATAATTATTACAGCTTTTTCTTCACAACTATAGACATTTTTTTTTTAAAGATAAAATAAAATGCAACAATTTCAACTATGGCGTCAAATGTATATTTTGTAAGTAGAAGTATTGGGGTTTCTTCAATTTACAAAAGACAGCTACATAATAATTGTTACATGTTAATTTAAAATTATACTAAAATCTGTATATCTTAAAATATATAAAGAAAAAAAGGTATTAGTCTTAAACAAATCCACATGTCTTATTGTTGTACTGCAAATCTAGAATTAATCAATGGATTTTGTGCACTTCAGGCTTCTACATTCTTGTCATACGAGAGTCCATCGTATTGCCACTATTACAAAGTGTTCTAATACCTGGCAATGATAATAAATTATTAACTCATGAAATTTAGGAAAAATAAATATTTCTGTTCAAAATAATAATAGGTACTTACTTTAATAACATCTGTTCAGGTTTTACAATCAATATCTTACTTATGTGTGTAATTAATTAATGTGTACTTATAAATTTTAATTTTTTATGGTCAATTAACAATAATCAACAGAAAAAACTGTTAGTATCACCAAAATGCTTTAAATATGTAAATTATAACATGTAAAATAGTGTATCATAACTACATACACCTCAGTATTAAATAAAAACAAATTAGATAGGTACTGCACTTATTGCACTTCAGTAAATATGCTTCAATCAAATGAAAAAAATCAAATAGGTTATAATAATCTAGTCTTTTTCGATGATAATAAGATACGAATCGACTCAAAAGTGGCAATACCGCCTAATGACGTCATCTTGGGTACTTGCACGTTTGGTTAGGCACTTCATAAATACATAACTTTTGATGTTCATACAACATTTAACCCACGTAATTAATCGTCATATTAAAATTCTGATACTTCTATCGTAGTTAGCACAAAAAACCACATATTTCAGTGGAAAAAAAAATTATTAAAAATAAAATGTACAGGTTGGTAAATCATATTGTATAAAGCAAGCTACTTTTACACGTGTAATATAGGCAGTTATGGCGAGCTCGGCCCAATGACGTCACGCGGCTATTCTAAATATCCTATAATATCTCCTTAAAAAATAATTTTATTGCATCGGATTTTGACCAAATCGTTTTTAATAGTTCTTACCACAATAACTTAAAATGTAATAATAATTTTAAGAACATTGTGCTGTGTGCTCCTTTAAATAAGCAGCTATGGCCTTATCCTCCAAAAGTTTCTTTATGCAGACATATAATATATTATATATATACGAGTATATATTCTGCGTAGCAATCATCGCACATCTGACATTATAGCTTATACGGCCGCCGCCGGTAATACGAAATTATTTTTAGAGGTACTACGAAAACCTGTTAGTTTTTATATGGGCGATCCACAGCACTGCAGATTAAATATATACATAATATATTAAATCTCTAGTAGCACCATCTTATCTTAATTGAGACGGGTCGCGTCCCAGCCGCTCGAACCTCAGAGTAATAATAATACCGAATTCATCGCAATAAAATAATTTAACAATAGCTATTATACCTAATATGAAAACGTGTTTTACATATTATGTGCGTAATCACAATATGTCGCACACGACACGACAGCTGCCCTGCAGCTCTCAGCACAATCGCATAGCATCATCGTCATCATATTTAAATATAAATTATAATGTTTATACTGTATTCTAATATAATATAAAATATCAATTAATATATAATATTTCTACTATTTCGTCAGTTCTTTAGGGGTGCGCCGCCCCAAAATTTTTCCTTTTTCAAGGGTACATTTTTTTTCTCGAAATTAGATAACATTACTTGAGAAATCACTTTTCCAAATAAAAGTTCAAGTTAAAGAAAATAACGATCACAAATAAAACTATATTTCTTATAATAACTTTATTATTTTATTAATGGTTTTCTATGTATATAAAACGAGTGTTTATATAATTACATTAAACTTACATGTTTTTAATTTGAGTTTAATTGTATTGTTTACCTACAATTCATATTATTTCGATACTTCATTTGAAGCATGATATAGTTTTACATTTAGTATTTATTTGTTGTGGGTGTATATTTATGAAATCCTAAAAATATTATCACATTAGCTTTAACAAATTTTTAGGGGACTTTAATATTCTAATATTGGTAAAATAAGTCTCGCTTCATGATATTGGAGTTTGCGATATTTATATTAGTATTTTACTACTAATATAATTTATACATACAATATATATATATATATAATCTATATATCCAAATTTAAAATAATATGGCTTGTTATTTATAAATTCGTAAAATAACTAAGTAGGGGCGGGCGGATGAGGCTATAAGCTGCCGCATATATTTATCCCAAAATATGGGCTATAGAAACTTTGAGTAAGTATTAAGGTTATCTTAAAATGAAAAATCGTTATAAATATAGTCTTTTATCAAAGTTGTAGTAAGCTTTAATTTTTAACATTTATTGAGTGTTAAATTTTTATATTCATACAACGTGACTTTTTGGTCCAAATTTGTTCTACAAAACATTGTATAAATGTTACATTAATGTTATTTAATGGAATTTTAACTCAATTCAAACGTTTATTTAATCATTAAAGTTACTTGTTTTCCGTTTGTTTAATGTTGTATAAGCATTTTTTTTGCTTAGTGGAAATATTCAAAGTCTTAAAATATTATTATAATTTTATATAACTTTTAAACTCCATTTTTATTTAATTTATGTTATTTATTTAAACATAACACTACTTAAGTAAACAAAATTTGTTTTCAAAACTTTTACGTTTAAAAATAAGTTTATTATAGAATAAATGTTTTAGTTTCAGAAATTAATCGTGATTAGTATAATCCCGATAAAATAAAATAATTTGCAATGTTAATAACGCTCACAAAATATTAAAAAGGCAATATATTTTATAGTATTTCATAACAAATTTAAGTTTATTAATATTTAAAATTAGTGTATAAAGAAGAAAATTAAACTATAATAC